TGTGAATGAAGTCTCACATCTCTTTTGTTACCTGAGTTCCTTTTCCGCCGGGAATTTCCTTCTAAATCTGATGTCGTCCATTTCTCACTGTGGTTTATTTTCCTGAATTCTAGAAATGGAAAAGAAAGAGGGAGGACCCACTTCTGAAAATGAGAACTTTGTCTTCGAGTGAAAGTAGCATTATTGTAAAAGCTTCCAGGGACAGAAATATAAGATGGGGACATCATAACCAATATGATGTAGACAGCAAGGGCCGGTCTCTGGAGCAGGCAGACCTCCTCCAGGGCATGAGGCGGTCTCTATCTCCTGCATCAGTCAGTCATAACCTCTAAAATCGCAATGTGAGCCATTCACTGCTCTGGACTCATTGCTGTCTGAGCATTCTCTTGTTAGATGGCAGGTCTGGGAGCACTGAATCTTAAGCTGTGAGATGCAAATGCTTCTCACTTTTTCTTTCCATTTGTTTTTCCTCTTGTCAAACATCATGTATTGAGTTTAACCAAGTGTCATCACTGTGCTCACTCAATATTTCATACACATGTGTCTAATTTAAACTTAGTAGTGAAAGACACAGGGGAACTGAGCAGGAAGGCCATCTGTGATGTACTGGTAAATGCTTAACAACCAGCTCTCTGGGAAAAAATCCTCCCTGATTTGTTGTTGACCGATTTCTGTGATGTCAATGTTCTCACCCCAGAGTCTCAGAATCGGCTCTCTGAGTAGCCCCTTCCTCTCCAGTGCTCTGCTCTGCGCCCTCCCTGGACCCCAGCTCTGTCTTTTCATCTCATGGGGACTGCTGGGCCCACCTGGGCTCCCCCTTCCAGAGCTGCATTCTGTCCCCAGCAGTACCCGGAGGCCATCACGGGGCCCATCTCATTTGTTGCCTTTTTCTGAGGGGTTCCTTTGCATCTTTCCTGATGTCCAATGACTGAAAACTGTTGCTTCATATGTTTTTCAGACTTTTCAGGCAGGAGGGTGTCTGGTTCTTGTTACCTCAAAGTTACTAGAAATAGAAGTCTTTCCTTGTGACCCCACTTTGATCACTTATTAAATTATTATCTATAGCCCTGGCTGGTGTGGCTCAGTTTGGTTGAGCATCATCCCATGCACCAAAAAGTTGCCAGTTCAATTTCCAGTCAGGGCACATGCTCAGGTTTCAGGCTCAATCCTCTGTCAGGGGTATGCAGGAAGCAGCCAATCGATGTCTCTCTCTCTCCCTTTGCCTTCCTCTCTCTCTAAAGTCAATAAAAACATATATTTTTTTTAAAAAATCTTATATATAATAGTACCTATTTCTGGTCCATTAAGCTGACTCCCAAACATTAGTACCATACTGTGTTAATTCCTAAGACACTGTCATAATATATTATATATCTTAAAGGATTAATAAGATATATAATTACCTCTGTCCTTCAAAAGTATTTATTTCTCGAGATGAACCTCAGAATCACTGTATAAAGTTCTCCCCAACCCAACACTCAAGTTCCTGACAAATTTTTGGTCACAGTTTTATTATAATTCCATAAAACGTATACATTCGTTGCAGAAAATTTGGCAGCTTTACAATGTAAATCTTTCTCTCTAGAAACATGACATATTTCTCTATTTGTCAAATCTCCAGGTCACACAATTAAGGTTATTTGCTTTCTTGGATTTCATTTCCTTGCATGTTTTCTAATTAATGAAGTTAGCTTATGTAGGTTGATATGTTAGGTTAATAAATGTAATTGCCTTTGTGTCCATTTTCTCAAATGGTTTTTTTTAGGTTTTTATGGATGGGAGGTTCTAGGTATGCTATCTTATCATCTGCAAATAATATATTTTCTATGGCTCCAGGTATATATTTTTACGGCTTTATATCTGAAATTAACCTGCGTTTCCAAATTAACAATATATAATAACAGAGAGAGTGAGACTCCTTGTTCAGGTTGTGCTTGAAATAGAAATTCTGACTATTAGTAATCAGCAAATAAACATTGAAACTGAACATTTTAGAATTACAGACACGTACTTAAATTGAAATGAAGAATGTAACTCACTTGTTAATATTTTGGAAAGATTTTCCTCTATATGTTCTCTGCTTTTTGACAGCTTCACCCTTCTCAGCGCTTGCCTGATTTGCCAATGTTTTGGAGACAATTTCAGCAGAAAAAGTCCATATTTAATGTACTCTCTAAGGAGGAATTCTGTTTTTGATATTTCACTACTCAAAGGAAACAAAAATATAATTAGATAGATTTGTGTGAAAGCATGTTCACTGTTTATAAAAAGATTTTACAAAGTTCATTGTCTTGATTATGTATTGACTTAACAAAAATTCTAAGTATGGCCATAAAAATAGGAGCATCAATAAAATATGAAATAAGAAGAAATAACCAGTAGGAAATTTATTTGAATAACACATGACCCAGGATATACACAGGTAGGGTAGACTGATGATAGCTTTACTCTACTTATTTTTTCCAAGGGAAATGTTGTATTACATGTTAGACATAGGGAGAAATTAGAAGGTAGCAAAAGATGGTACTTGTGTGAGGAGAACAAAGGACACTAACACTCAATGAGCACCTACTATGTACTGGGCAATACTCAGGACATGCTACAGATACAATTTCATCCTCAGTACAGCCACAAAAGGAATCCTATATAATAAAACCCTAATATGCAAATTGACCAAACAGTGGAACAACTGGTTGCTATGACGTGCACTGACCATCAGGGGGCAGATGCTCAATGGAGGAGCTCATGGCTGGCGAGCACAGTGGCGGTGGCGGGAGCCTCTCCCACCTCTGCTTTAGGCGGGCAGTAAGGAGTGAGGGGTCCTGGACTGAGAGAGCCCAGACTGCAAGAGGGATGTCTGCCTGCTGACTTAGGCCCCAGCCCCTGGGGATGGGGCCTAAGCCAGCAGGCAGACATCCCTCGAGGGGTCCTGGACTGCAAGAGTACATGAATTTTGTGCACCGGGCCTCCACCCTTATCCTTCTAAGCCTTCCTTATTCACACACACACACACACACACACACACACACACACACACACACTCTTCAATACCCTTATCGATATTACTCCTATATCAGTATCTTCAGCTTCAGTACTTCTTTGGGACAGAAGCATCCTAAAGCCCTGGTGTGTGAGGGATATTCAAGAGTCAAACCTAGATGTTTTCGCCCAGGCCACTGTAGCTCAGTTAGTTGGGCATCTACCCGTGCACCGATAAGTTGCTGGTTCAATTCCCAGTCAGGGCACATAACTTGGGTTGCAGGCTCAGTTCCAGTAGGAGGTGTGCAGGAGGCAGCCAATCGATGATTTGCTTTCACATAGATGTTTCTCTCTCTCCCTCTCCCTTCTTCTCTCTCTAAAAAAATTTTAAAAACAAACAAAAAAAAGCCCTGGATGTTTTCTTCTGTAGTCAAGTGTATCTTACCTGATTTATGTTAAATATCTAACGAAGCTCATGGATCACCAGTCACAAAACGATGGGAGTCCCTTATTATACCACCACTTAGCCTCCCAGGTGTGTGACAAAGAATAGAGCTCGCCCAGCAGCGTGGCTCAGTGGTTGAGCATCTACCTATCACCAGGAGGTCAAGGTTCGATTCCCTGGTTGGGGCACATGCCTGGGTTGCGGGCTCAATCCCCAATAGGAGGTGTGCAGGTGACAGCCATGTTTCTAATTTTCTCTCCCTCTCTCTTCCTCTCTCTCCCTTCTCCCTTCCTCTCTGAAATCGATAAAAATACATCATATATATATATATTAAAGAACAGAGCTAATTTTGGCTAGTATTGCCCAGCTTCCAAGCAAAAGCTTCAGGGCCAGCCCCCTTTCCCTTTGTAAACAGAATTCCAGCTCTCCCTGCAGAGGAGGGCCTCTGTGTGCTATAGAGAAGGAAATAGATAGCAGGCACTTGCATCCCTGGCTCTGTTACCAGCTAGTTTTGCGTTACCTTCTGCACCTTGCTGAGATAATGAGACTCGAAAACAATCAGACAGTTCGCTTCAGAAGGGCCACTGTGCATAAATACAGTACTTTATTCAACCACAGGCTGCTACTCTAGTTCTATAAATAGACAGAGCGAAGGAGAGAAGGGAATTCTCCCCCTTGGGAGCGCCATCAACTAGCTCCTAACATAGATGAGGCTACTGTGGCCAGAATGTGTTTGAAACATACATTTTTGTTAGAAACAACTGGTTTCAAAGAAGCTGCCCTCCAGACCATTTGCTGCATTTTAGACAAGGTGTTGTCCTTCTCCCCAAAAAGCTGGGACATAAGTTTAAGTCCAGGACCTGGTTGTAGAGCAGCGCTAAGCATTCTCAAAAAGAAAAAAAGTTCTAACTTGCTTTGATTTCAAGACTGCAGAGTCTCTTGAATCATTGAAATTATTGCCTAAGGATGATGACAGAAGGAAGCTTCTTTAAGATATTTAAAATGAGATCTATGAGACCATGGAAGAAAGCATCCAGGTTTGAAAAAACTAAATACGGAGAGTGTGGCAGGTGGTATCATAATTTTATCTCAATTCCTTGGTGGGTTTTTTCTTTTTTTTTTTGTCATTATGATCTTGGTTTTTAATATCAATGCTAGGTTCATCTAAGTGTGAGGATAAATATACAAAATACTGCCAATTGTCATTGTAACATATTGTAAAATGAATCCCCATGGCGGAAATGTTAAAATGTGTGAAGAAATGCATCTTAGAGTGAAAGAGAAAGGACACTTAGACAATAATTTGTTTACTCCTAACATTGGTTTTCTTCTTTTCAAAAAATTTCTTGGCTTCTGTATTGACAAGTTAGAGAAAGGTTTCCGCCAGAGATCACTGTACTCTCCTGATACACAATCAGAGACGATCCGCAATCAACAGATTACTCATTTTAAAAATGTGGTCAAGTGTATGAAATCATCACTGAGAAGAGTTATTCCCACTCAGGTCTTGCTAGGCACAAACAGGACTGAATAGGCTGTGCACACTGGATAGGAAAAAGCTGGTGTGCGGCCTCACCTTTTCACCGCCTGCACCTCCATAGTCGCTTTCTTGAGCTCCGCCGTCATTTGGAGTTTGTTTATAGTTTCATGTGCTGCACTGAAAAGGAACACATTTGTTAGTTTGTTTTGTGTTGTGTTCTGAGAAATGGAAAAGAAGAAAGAGGGAGGCAGAAAGCGAGGTGGCTAGAGTGAAAACACGAACATTTTAAGGGCGTCTACGGATCTCTGGTCGTTTTCTCGAAGGAACTCTTCAAAGGCAATGGCGTCTTCTTGGAGCTTTATTTCTGCCTTGTTGATTTGCCGTTCCTTCGTCATTATGTGCTTATCATACCTGGTGATTGTATTCCTTTTGTTTGACACAGCATACTGGGAATAGTGGAAACAGAAGTGCGTCGGGAACAGTAGTCACATTTCTGGCACATGCCAACAGTCTCATAAGAGAGGGGGAAATAACCTGCATTCTAAGTGGGCATTTGGGTTAGAAAGAATGGGATGCCCACATGGTGGGGAGATGGCCTTTATTTGGGAGATCATAGAAAGGAAACTAATTCCTTTCTCACTTTTATGAAGAGGCTCAATATTGCTCCAAAATGGCTGGGCCCCATGAATCAAAAAATAGCTACATATTGCCCAAAGAGCAGGCCCACCTGGTGTTACCCACAGTGTCCTTCCTATTCTCTCTGAGCGTTGGAAACCGGGCTGTCTGCAGCCTCAAGGCTCCTCCCACAGGAAGTACCAAGGGAGAATCAGGTCCCTCTGAGCAAGAGTGGCGGCGCTCAGCCTCAAAGAGCCCTATTCAGATCCCCGGATCTAACTTTGACATCACGCTTCTATTTTTTTTAAAATATATTTTATTGATTTTTTACAGAGAGGAAGGGAGAGGGATAGAGAGTTAGAAACATCGATGAGAGAAGACACCAAAATGGAAACCAAGATGACGGCATAGGTTAACGCCAGAATCCCCGGATAACTTTGACATCACGCTTCTATTTTTTTTAAAATATATTTTATTGATTTTTTACAGAGAGGAAGGGAGAGGGATAGAGAGTTAGAAACATCGATGAGAGAAGACACCAAAATGGAAACCAAGATGGCGGCGCTGCCTCAAAGAGCCCCATTCAGATCCCCGGATCTAACTTTGACATCACGCTTCTATTTTTTTTAAAATATATTTTATTGATTTTTTACAGAGAGGAAGGGAGAGGGATAGAGAGTTAGAAAAATCACTGAGAGAAATCGATCAGCTGCCTCCTGCACGGGGGATGTGCCCGAAACCAAGGTACATGCCCTTGACCGGAATCGAACCGGGGCCCCTTCAGTCCGCAGGCCGACGCTCTATCCACTGAGCCAAACTGGTTTGGCTGTTTTGCTATTCTTAATGACTAAGAATGGAAAGTATTAAGAAATGCTAGCAAAGAACTTTTAATGCTTTAGGTGGTTACAGCAGAAAAATCTACTAAGAGAAAATGTTTTGAAGAGTCTTGAACTTGAGTCAC